TTACACACAGAAACACAGAAACACGGTCATCAATATGAAAGAAGGTAAAGGAAGGAAATCTCCTAGTAAAAGATCAGAAGAGCAAAGTTACTACTTATCAATAGTCACTTTGAACGTTAATGACCTCAACTCTCCCGTTAAAAGACACAGATTGGCTGATTGGGTTAGGAACAAAACCCATCTATTTGCTGCTTACAAGACACACATCTTTCCAACAAAGATGCGTGCAGACTGAAAGTCAAAGGTTAGAAAAAGATATTCTATGCCAACAGAAATGAAAAAAGAGCAGGCGTAGCCATCTTAATATCAGACAAAATAAACTTTAACACAAAAACTGTTAAAAGAGACAAAGAGGGGCACTATATAATGATTAAGGGATCAGTTCAACAGGAAGATATAACGATTATCAATGTATATGCACCTAATTACAGGGCACCAGTTCATTTAAAAGATTTGTTAAGGGAATTAAAGGGAGACTTAGACTCCAATGCAATAGTACTGGGGGACGTCAATACTCCACTCTCAGAAATAGACAGATCAACTGGACAGAAGATCAACAAGGAAACAGTAGATTTAAATGACACTATAGCCCAAATGGATCTAACAGATATCTACAGAACTTTTCATCCTACACATAAAGCATTTACATTCTTCTCAGCAGTACATGGAACCTACTCTAGGATTGACCACATACTAGGCCAAAAACCAAGTCTCAGCAAGTTCAAAAGAATTAGAATCATATGATGCAGCCTCTCAGAACATAGGGGAATGAAGTTGGAAATTAGCAACTCAGGAATCCCTAGAGCATATGCAAACACATGGAGATTGAACAACATGCTCCTGAATGAACATTGGGACATAGAAGAAATCAAAAATTTTCTGGAAGTAAGTGAGGATAACAGCACAACATACCAAAACTGATGGGACGCAGCAAAAGCAGTGTTAAGAGGAAAGCTTATATCAATAGGTGCCTACATCAAGAAATTGGAAAGGCACCAAATAGATGAGCTTTCAATGCATCTCAAGAATGTAGAAAAACTGCAGCAAACCAGACCCAAATCTATTAGGAGAAGAGAAATAAAATCAGAGAAGAAATCAATAGGATTGAATAAAAAAATTATAAAAAATCAGCCAAATGAGGAGCTGGTTTTTTGAAAAATAAAATTGACACCCCACTGGCCCAACTAACTAAAAAATGAAGAGAAAAGACCCAAATAAATAAAATCACAGATGAAAAAGCAAATATAAAAACAGACATAACAGAAATTAAAAAGAACCATTAGAATTTACAACTAGGACTGGATAAGGAAATTATGGGACATGTACTCTATAGAATACTATACAGCAGTCAAAAACAACGAAACCCAGTCATTTGCAACCAGATGGAATAATCCGGAAAATATTATGCTGAGTGAATTAAGCCAGTCCCAAAGGGACAAATATCATATGTTCTCCCTGATCGGTGACAACTAACTGAGCACCAAAGAGGAAACCTGTTGAAGTGAAATGGACACTATGAGAAACAGTGACTTGATCAGCTCTTGTCCTGACTGTTGATGTACAATGTAATACTTTATCCCTTTTAGTATTTTTTTTGTTGTAGTACTATTGGTTGAACTCTGTAATTAACACACAGTTATTCTTAGGTGTTTAAATTTAGCTGAAAAGTGATCCCTGTTAAATACAAGAGTGGGAATAAGACAGGGAGGAGATGTACAATTTGGGACATGCTCAATCGGACTTGTCCCAAATGGTAGAGTTAGAATCGTGCCAGGGGATTCCAATACAATGCCATCTCACTAGTCCAAGTGATCAATTTCAGTTCACAATTGATCACACTGATAGGTCTAAGAGTCAAAGGGATCACATAAACAAGACTGGTGTCTGCTAATACTAACTGATAGAATCAAAAAGGGAGAGAACGATCCAACATGGGAAGCGGGATACACAGCAGACTCGTAGAATGGTAGATGTCCTAAATAGCATTCTGGCCTCAGAATCAGCCCTTAAGGCAGTCGGATCTGGCTGAAGAGCCCATGAGAGTATTTAGGCATGGAAAGCCAAGACACTCTGGGAAAAAAAAGAAGAAGACCTAAATGAAAGATCTCTGTGAGTGAGATCCCAGTAGAAAGAATGGGGCCATCAAAGAAGGAGGTACCTTTCTCTGAAGGGAGGAGAGAACTTCCACTTCGACTATGACCCTGTCTGAATAAGATCGAAGTCAGCAAACTCAAAAGGCTTCCATAGCCTTGACAACTCATGACTAGAGCCTAGGGAGATTACTGACACCATAAACAAGAGTATCAAATTGTTAAGTCAACAACAGGAGTCACTGTGTACTTACTTCCCATGTGGGATCTGTCCTTAATGTGTTGTCCAATGTGAAGTAATGCTATAACTAGTACTGAAACAGTATTTTACACTTTATGTTCTGTGTGGGTGCAAACTGATGAAATCTTTACTTAATATATACTAAATCAATTTTCTGTATATAGATAATTGAAAATGAATCTTGATGTGAATGGAATGGGAGAGGGAGCGGGAGATGGGAGGGGTGTGAGTGGGAGTGAAATTATAGGGGAGAGGCCGGCGCCGCGGCTCACTAGGCTAATCCTCCGCCTAGCGGCGCCGGCACACCGGGTTCTAGTCCCGGTTGGGGCACCGGATTCTGTCCCGGTTGCCCCTCTTCCAGGCCAGCCCTCTGCTGTGGCCCGGGAGTGCAGTGGAGGATGGCCCAGGTGCTTGGGCCCTGTACCCCATGGGAGACCAGGAAAAGCACCTGGCTCCTGGCTCCTGCCATCGGATCAGCGCGGTGCGCCGGCCGCAGCGCGCCGGCCGTGGCGGCCATTGGAGGGTGAACCAACGGCAAAGGAAGACCTTTCTCTCTGTCTCTCTCTCTCACTGTCCACTCTGCCTGTCAAAAAAAAAAAAATTACAGGGGAGAAAGCCATTGTAATCCATAAACTGTACTTTGGAAATTTATATTTACTAAATAAAAGATAAAAAAAAGAACTGGCAGCAAGAAGAAAAAAAAATACACAAAAATCAATAGCCTTTGTATACACAAACAACATACACAGGTATGCCATGGCTGAGAGTAAATCAGTTCCATTCACAATAGCTACAAAAAATTGAATATCTTGGAATAATTTCAACCAAGGACATGAAAATCCCTACCATGAAAATTACAAAACTTTAAATAAATAGACAAAGACACAAAAAATGAAAAAATCTTCCATGTTTGTGGATTGGAAGAATTAATATCATCAAAATGCCCATATTACACAAAGCAATTTTCAAATTCAATGATATCATGATCAAATTACCAATGACATTCTTCTCAAATCTAGAAAAGAAGGATGCTAAAATTCATATGGAAACACAAGAGACCTCAAATTGCTAATGGAATCTTAAACAACTGGAACAAAGCCAGAAGTATCACAATATCAGATTTCAAGACATACTACAGGGCACTTATAATCAAAACAGCCTGGTACTAGCATAAAAATAAACATGTAGACCAATGCAACAAAACAGAAACTCCACAAATCAATCCACACATCTATAACCAACTAATCTCAGACAGAGGAGCTAAAATCAATCCTTGGAGCAAGGATAGTCTTCAACAAATGATGCTGGGAAAATTGAAGCTCCACATGCTGAAGTGTGAAACAAAATCTTTACCTTACATCTTACACAAAATCAACTCAAAATGGATCAAGGATTTAATTCTACAACCTGATACCATCAAATTACTAATGAACAACATAGAAGATACTCTGCAAGACATTGGCATAGGCAAAGACTTCTTGGAAAAGACCAAGAAACACAGGCAATCAAAGCAAAAATGGACAAATGGGATTACATCAAGCTAACAAGCTTCTGCATTGTAAAGAAAACACTCAACAAAGGGAAGAGGCAACTGCCAGAATGGGAGAAAATATTTGCAAAACATGCAGCTGATAAAGGATTAATATCCAAAATCCATAAAGGGCTCAAGAAACTCAATAACAATAAAACAAACAATACAGTAAAGAAATGGGCAAATGACTTGACCAGGCATTTTTCAAAAGAGTAAATTCAAATGGCCAACAGACACATGAAAAACTGTTCAGGATAAATAGCCATCAGGGAAATGCAAATCAAAACCACAATGAGATTTTACCTCACCACAATTAGAATGACTGTCATATAGAAATCAAAAAATAACAAATGCTGACAAATACATGGGGGAAAACCACCCTAATGCACTGCTGGTGGGAATATGAACTAGTACAGTCATTGTGGAAGACAGTATGGAGATTCCTCAGAAGTCTGAATGTAAACCTTCCATATGACCCAGCCATCCTGCTCCTGGGAATTTACCCAAAGAAAATGAAATCAGCATATGAAAGAGTTACTGCAGCTCAATTCATAATAACTAAGATATGGAATCAACCCAGATGCCCATCAAACAGTGACTAGATAAAGGAAATATTGTATATATACACTATGGAGTATTACTCAGCCATAAAATAAAATGAAATTCTGTCTTTCACAACAAAATGGATGCAACTGGAAACCATTATACTTAGTGAAATATGGCAGTCCAAAAAAAGACAAATACCATGTTTTCCCTGATCTGTGATAACAGAATATTAAAAATGTAATGTATATGAGTGAAATTAACATTTTCAGAATTGATTATTTACAGCCTTTTTCTCTACTGTTGAGGAACAGGTTTTTTGGCTGGTTTTTTGTTTGTTTGTTTCTGCTTCTTACTATTTGTTGAATTCTTTACTTAGTGGAGGGTTAACTTTATGGTTATAAAATAAACTGAAAAGAAAATTAAATCAAAAGAAAGAAAAGAACAGAAGGATGAGAGAGGGTGGGACCATGGGAGGGAGGGAGGATAGGTTGATGAAAATCACTATATTACTAAATCTGTATATATTAAATTTGTTCCCCTTATATAATTTTTTAAAAATTTAAGAGTGGAAACTTACAGAGTGGAAACTTACCCAGTTATGATGTCTAAGAGGTTGGCCTGGTGGGAAGTCTTTAGGTCACAGGAGGTGTGTCCTAGAAAGGCAGTTCTCCTGAGGGTTAGATATAGAAGCCTGAGTCAGACCAAGCCATTCTGTCTCTGTATCCTGGCCCAACATGTGGTTATTCCTCTGAGCATATTCCACCACTGCCATTTTCCAGTGCCACAAGCTGGCCAAACTACAGTGCCCACTTGATCCTGGACTGTGAGACTCCAAAACCATGAGCTAAAATAAACTTCCTTCCTTAATAAGTAACTTGTTCAAGGTATTTTGTTGCAGTAACAAAAAGATGATTAACATAGCCTTTGAGCTCTTGATTTGTCAGTATTTATAATTAATACCCACGACATTCTGAATTAGTGCCTGGCAGGTGGAAGCAACTGAATAAATGTTTCTTTCCTTCCTTCCCAATCTGTGCCAGAGGCAGAAACTGCTCACAATGCAATGAAGACAATAGGAGTGGAAACTGGGGAAAACCTGGGCAGACTCTAAGAAGGAGGAAAACCTGATTTAGAAAGGAAGGGAGAGTTAGGGAAATGAAAAGGAGGAAGAAGTTAAGACAGTACTTTATAAAGTACCTTTACACACTAGTAGAAACTTGGAGAGGGATGAACCTCCTTTTAGTGTGGAAGAAAAATACACAGGAGGAAAATTCTAGGTGGAATCATGAAGTTAACATAAGTTCATTCTGAGAAGATGCCAGGAAAAGATTGGCGCCTGGTTTAATAAACCAGTAAGCTGGCAGCAGTGGCTCCCTCTCATCATCCTTTTTCCTCTCCTCCCCTTCCTTCTCCTCTTCCTTCTCCTCTTTATCTCTCTCATGTCTCCCTCTTCCATCTTCTCCCTCCACTTGTTTTTCCTCCTTTTCTCCCTCCTCCTCCTCTTATCATCATCACCATCAGCATCATCATCATCATCGTCATCCTCATCATGAGAAATGATAACAGCCAGCATTTGCAGATGATGGCCCATATGCTCAGCAGTGTGCTAACGATTTACACAGATCTTTAATCTTCACAGTAGCCTACAGGACAGGTAATGTGATAGTCCTCATTTTACAAATGAGTCACACAGTTAGTAAGCAATATTTCTTATTAACCTTGAATATACATGGCTTCATAAGTCATAAGACTCCATGGGTGAATGTCAGAGAATTCATCTTTGAAAATAACAGCATTAGCCTTCACTATAACACTAGCACAGAGAGTCAGTAATCAGTGTAAATAGCACTGATACAGACATGGTCAATAACAACATGAAGAAGTGTTCAGCATCATTAGTTATTGAAGAAATGCAAACCACATTAGGAAACCACTGCATAACCATTAGAAAGACTAAAATAAAGGAGACTGACAACACTAAGAGACTGCACAAGAAATATATAGAGCAACTGAACCTCTCAGACATTGCTAATGAGACTGTAAGATTATGAAACTATTTCATTTATTATTAAATGTATCTACCCTATGACCCAGTCTTTTCATCCCTAGGTATGTAGTCAAGAGAAATGAAAACATACATCCACACAAAAACACATACAAAAACACTCATAGCCACTTTCTTTGTAATAGCCCCAAACAGGAAACAAACTGAATGTTCAACAACAAGTAAATGGATATAAAAACAAATCAGTGATACTCATTCAATGAGTACTACCCAACACTAGAAAGGAGCAAACTGAGAATGCACACAGTTTGGATGAACTGGAAAATCATCATATAGAGCCAAAGAACCCAAACCTTAAAGAGCACACACAATAAGATTCCATTTACATAAAATACTAGAAAAATGCAACTAGTATGAACTAAAATACTATCCATGGTGACAGAAAGCAGATCAGTGGTTTCCTGGGACTTGAGGGTAGAGAGAAGATGGACTGCAAAGGGTCAGGAGGAATCTTTTTGGAATGACAGAAAAGCTCTGTAGCTTTTGTGGTATTGGTTTCACTAACATTCAGCTCTCTTTCCAGCCATGTGGTAGGTTTCATTTCCTTGCCCCTTGCAGAATGGAACATGGCCACATGACTGGTTTGGTCAATGAAATGGGAGTGGAAGGAGTCAGAGCCAGGTGGAAGTTTTTGATTTGGTACATTCCCATTCCTTTCTGAGCCTATCAGAGCAGAACATATTCAGAAGGGATTTCCAGGAAGTCCCTGAGTGGCTATGATAAGCAGGGCCACCACACATTTCCCCACCTGCTGTAAAGAATAGTAGCATAAATAAAAGGAAAAAACATGTAGCCTCTGGATTTTGGGGGTAGTTCTTTGTGACTGTCAAAGCAACTGCTTCCTACTGACACAAGTGTAATTTTAAACAGTAACTGATCATAAGGTAGAAGAGGCTTCCAGGGGAAAGAATTTGCAAGAGGGGAGACTAGGTTAAAGTTGTTTGTAATCCACAGATGGTAATCTGTAGGTGCAGGCACCAGAACAGGACCTGGGAGCTTGAAAAAGCAGTGGAGGAGACGTGTTGGCAAGAACCAACAAGAGTCAATCATGACTTGGAGATTCTGAAAGCACCGAAGAGTCTAATTGCTTCAGAAGTGTTGAAAAGAGAAAGGTCTTGAAATAAAAAGGATGACTAAAGAGGAAAGTTGAAGTGAAAAAAAAAAGATTAAATAAGGTGCTACAAGCAGGTTTGGAGAAGTGCATTTCATCAAAAGCAGAGGCAGGACCTTATACAATTCAGCTATAGGAAGATCACAAAGTTTGGAAGACAGAGACCTGACTCTGAACAGATGAATATGACAAATCTTTCAACTTGTTCACTTGTTCATTTAGCAAACAGTGACAATTTCATTTGCTTATTCCTTCAGTTACAGCAAAGAAGACAAAAATCTTCCTGCCCTACAGAGTTTACATTGAAATACAGGGAAGCAAACATAACACTTTAAACATCATGCAGAAAACAGACATGATCTTATACTTCTAAAGGAGATTAAAAATAAGTACAAAGATCTTATAATTTTAATGGAGGTTAAAAATAAGAACAATAAGGAGTTTGACAAAGGCAATGATCACTTCACTTAGTTAATAACCGCTATCTGCTATCCAAGTCAAAACCAGAGATATCCGAGGGGCGGAGCCAAGATGGCGGAATAGTGAGGGCACGCACTGATCGTCTGGGAAAAGATAGTTTAATAAAAGTGGAGTTACTGTCGTCTCAGGAAAAGGCTCAGGAAAAAATTGCAGAGGAAACTCTCCCGGATCTAGTGGATGTGACACAGAGGACCTACAGGGAGATCAAGGATGCTCACAGTGCGGAGGACAGCCGCGGAGTCTGCATGCCAGTGCTGGAAGAGGAGGTGAGACAAAAACCCTGGTTACCCGAGACATTGGTGGGGAAAGGCAGAAAGAGCCTAGAGGTAATGAAAGCCCCACTGGGGAAAGCTCACCAGGCTGACTGGAGGAGAGAAAAAAACGAATAAATAAGGGGAACTGGCATGGACACTAGCCTCTCTCTCCACTCACCTTACAAAGCCGAGCAAGACAAAGAGCAGGCGCCATTTTGAATATACGTAAAGTGGCACCCGCCATCAGCCAAGCATAAACACCTGACTCTTGTGGGGAGAAATAACAGGAGGTGAGGACCAGTGTGGAGCTAACAAACTGAGATTGTGAAAACCTGAGGGTGGGTGAGAGAACTCACCGAGTACACAAACTCGGTAACCTTGGCAACCCAGTGAGAGACTGCGAGAAATTTGAGACCACACTGAGGGCTGCATAAACCCTTTGTGCTGTCCTAGGGGTAGAGAGAGCAGACGAATACCCACAGGGGCAAGATTTCATACATCAACTACCCTCAATTCCACTCAGCTGTGTGGAATTACTTCCCAACTGAGTCAAAAGAGAGAGAGCAAGCTAGAGAGAGGACAACCTGGGTGAGTCACCTTTGACACACCCTTAACCCTGAAGAACCAAAGAGAGCTCTCTGGACACACCCATCACAGCCTCTAAGGATCCATCAAAAGCAGACAGTCCACTTAATCTAGAGTTATAGTATAACGAGAAAAAACACCACAGCGAAGAAACCAAAGAATATCTCCAATATGCCAAACAACAAATGCAGAAACCGAGGTAACAAGAACAAGGAAGACACTATGATGCCCCCAAATGAAAAAGACACCCCAATTCAAGATTATGAAGATGATGAGATAGAAGAAATGCAAGAAGCAGATCTCAAAAAATTGATAAGAACATTAAGAAGGTATCAAAAACAAATTCTTGAACTACAGAAATCCTTAATGGACAAGATAGAAAATCTCTCCCGTGAAAATGAAATAATAAGGAGGAATCAAAATGAAATGAAACAACTAGTAGAATATGAAACTGTGATAGTGAAGAGGAATCATAATGAAATGAAGAATTCAATAGATCAAATGACAAACACATTAGAGAGCTTTAAAAACAGAATGGGTGAATCAGAAGAGAGAATATCGGACTTAGAAGACAGAGAACAGGAAAGTATACAGTCAAACCAAAGAAAAGAAGAGGAAATTAGATATAGGTACCAGCAAAGACTTCTTGGAAAATACCCCAGAAGCACAGGCAGTCAAAGCCAAAATTAACATTTGGGATTGCATCAAATTGAGAAGTTTCTGTACTACAAAAGAAACAGTCAGGAAAGTGAAGAGGCAACTGACAGAATGGGAAAAAATAAAACAAACTATGCAACAGATAAAGGGTTAACAACCAGAATCTACAAAGAGATCAAGAAACTCCACAACAACAAAACAAACAACCGACTTAAGAGATGGGCCAAGGCAGTTGTAATCAAAACAGCATGGTACTGGTACAGAAACAGATGGATAGACCAACGGAACAGAATTGAAACACCAGAAATCAATCCAAACATCTACAGCCAACTCATGTTTGATCAAGGGTCCAAAACCAATCCCTGGAGTAAGGACAGTCTATTCAATAAATGGTGCTGGGAAAATTGGATTTCCACGTGCAGAATCATGAAGCAAGACCCCTACCTTTCACCTTACACAAAAATCCACTCAACATGGATTAAAGACTTAAATCTACGACCTGACACCATCAAATTATT